ATCCCTCCAAGAGGAAGAGGCAAAAGCGCAAGATCGTACGCCTACGGTAACTCCGCCAAAGCGGACGCCGTGCCTGGTAAAACTGTGATCGCAGACGCCAGAGGCCCCAAATGTCCAGCATGTGACATGGGGCATGCCCTCCGTGATTGCTTCTACGTGTATACTGAGAAAGCTCCGGAGTGGTGGGAACCCAATCCAAGAACAGCCCAATTCGTGGAGCTCAGACGAGAACATGACGCTGAGTTTCAGAGTCTCCTGAGAGCCCAAGGTCGCCCAAGGACTCATACTCCAAGACTTAAGCAGTCCCAAACTCCTACACCTAATCTTATTGATGATTGACTAAATGGACGACAGATATCGAAGATCGACGCCATGTTCGCCGCTGTATCCTCCCTATCGAATCGGCACGATTACCCACTAAGCAACTCCTTCATCTTTGACTCAGGATCGACGTGCCATATCACGAACAACCCCGATCGGATCCACAACTATCGGCCACCGATCCATGGAGATTTCATATGGGCAGGCAATAGCCAGATTTGGATCAAGGGATATGGATCAATAGTCATACAGCTTGAACATAAACAGAGAGTAGAGAAACTCGTGCTCCACGACGTAGCAATCTGCCCAGACATCCTCTGCAATATCGTCTCATTTAGAGTACTGAGAAAGCAAGGACTCTGGTGGGATACCCAATCGGATCCCACAGCGGTCAAGCGATCAGATGGATCAACCGTCTGCGAGCTGGCAGAGCTATATGGTCAATGGGTACTGGAGTATCGGCCAAATGGATCAGAGGACAGAGTAGCCCTACACGCCCACTCACAAACGTCCCGAACGCGCCGGCGACCCCAACAGGCGCCTGCTCTCCTCTGGCACAAAAGACTGGGACACCCAGGGCCAGCAGCGATCGAGCACCTAGTCCAGCAAGCTGAGGGGGTGCGAGTTAAAGGGGTAACGACAGTGCAGTGCGATGCGTGTGGCCGAGCGAAAATCCGACGACAGATCAGCCGCGCTCCACGGATCAATGATCAGGGACCCGCAGAGAGGCTCGCCATTGATTTCCACTCCTATGAGAATCAATCCTACAACAAAGAGAAAAGCCAATTGCTAATTACCGATAGGTACTCGCGATTTCAGTGGGATTTCTATCTCACAGATAACCGAACGGCGAAATCGATCATCCGAGTACTATCCAATTTCCTCACTTTCCTCCAAAACCAATACAACATCACCCCAAAAGTGATCGAAACCGACAACGAGATCACCACAGTCAAACCAGACGTCGAGCGATGGATCAGAGGCCAAGGCATTGCTGTCGAGCCTTCAGCACCAGATACTCAAGCTCAAAACGGTGGAGCTGAACGCTCAGGGGGTGTGAATAAGGAGAAGGCACGCACAATGAGACTTGACGCCAATCTACCATGGGAACTCTGGCCAGAGATCACTCGGGCTGCTGTACACCTCTACAATCGAACGCCAAACTACAGTAACCAGTGGAAAACACCCTACGAAGTATTCTTCACGCGCGTATCACTAGCAAATGGGATAGTCACGTCGATCAAGAAGCCCTACCTAGCATACCTCAAAGCCTATGGGTGCAAAGCTTTTGCGATGACTGATGATACCCACAGAGGCAAATCAAGACTACAGCGGCTTGATCCAAAAGCCTGGATCGGCTACCTAGTTGGATATCAATCATCCAATATCTATCGGATTTGGATCCCATCACTCGCCAAAGTCATCAGCACAAGAGACGTGACCTTCGACGAAAATACAATATTTGATGGGACAATTGAAGACCTAATGGATAGCCTTATGCACAGCACTCTTTCAGAGATCGCAGCATACGTTAGGACTATCGAGCTCCCACCACCGATCCCAGACACCGGGACGGAGTCGTTTCATGAAGACGACGAAAGCATCAATACCACAGAGGAGGAAGAAGATCCGCCAGGGTACTACAATGGTCGAAAGATCCAAGATCACTACCCAACTCCTCCATCAACACCTCCACCAGCAGTCCTGCTCGCCCAGTTTATGAGTGGAAATGTTCGATCCACTCCTGAGATCCAATCATCCAAAACAGTTCCATGGGCCGCAGCGTTCATGGCTGGATTAAAGGCAGGGACTATAGGCACTCACAATGGAAGCCCAATCGACAAGGCACAACTTCACCGGCTACTCGCCAAAGGAGTCAAGATCCATCAATCACAACTTCCTGATCCACCGACAGCCAGGACTGATCTTGATCAGCACCCTTTAGGAGAGCTATTTAAAGAAGCACAACGTGCACATCTCGACAGCCACAAAGTCACCAATTCGTGGGAAGAAGTACCCTACCAAGCAGCTAAATCTAAAGGACACCAGATTCTAGACTGCATGTGGGTGTATGTCTACAAATTTAACAAAGCCAATCAATTCATTAAGTGCAAAGCTCGATTAGTTGTGCGGGGTGATCAGCAGCGCAATATCACCTCCCAAGACACCTACGCCGCTACTCTAGCTAGCCGATCATTTCGACTACTTATGGCAATCGCTGCCAAACACAATCTTGAACTAAAACAGTACGACGTTACCAACGCCTTCGTCCACGCATCGTTAGATCGAGAGGTCTACATGCGGATGCCAAAGGGTTATCAGAAGCCCGGCACTATCCTACGGATCAAGAAAGCTCTTTATGGGCTAAGAATATCCCCACTCCTTTGGCAGAAGGATCTCACAGCGACGCTCACTCAACTTGGGTTCCAGATTGTACCCCACGAGCCCTGCTGTATGATCAAAGACGGAATCATCATCTTCTACTACGTAGACGATATCATCCTAGCCTATGGCAAGGATCAATCCAAGAAGGCTCAAGAAGCAATGGATCAGCTCAAGCAGCGATACTCCATCACTGGTGGAGACGATCTACAGTGGTTCCTTGGGATCGAGGTGATCAGGGATCGATCCAAACAACTGATCCACCTCTCCCAGGTTGCCTACTATGAAAAGATCAATAGACTAGTGGACGATCAGACAATCCGCCACGATACTCCTATGGCGACCAGCGAGCTCATGCCCAGAGAAGGACTAGCTACCCCGTCTGAGATCAATCGATACCAGCGGAAGATTGGCTCTCTCCTCTACGCCGCTGTCAATACACGCCCGGATATTGCTTTTGCGACGTCTAGACTAGCCAGATTTCTCGCCAACCCAAGTCAGGAACACCAACAGGCTGCGGATCGAGTGTTACTCTACCTATCCGACACTAAGTGGCTGACATTACGATTGGGTGGCGGCACCGCTATGCAGGTAGCCAGTGACGCATCATTTGCAGACAACACTCTGGATCGCAAAAGCTCTCAGGGCTACGCGATTAAACTCTTCGGCGGGCTGATCGCCTGGCGATCTAGCAAGCAAGATACCGTCACTACTTCAACAACTGAAGCAGAGCTCTTAGCACTCTCACAAGTAGCCAAAGAAGCGATCTTTACCTCACGATTGATCAGTGAACTTAAGGTTAAGCTACCGAGTCCTACGATCACTATCCAATGCGACAATCAACAGACGATCCGTCTTGTAACTCAAGCAGTATCAAGACTCACCACGAAGCTCCGACACGTAGATATCCACAACCATTGGCTCCGACAGGAAGTGACGAACCAGAGGATCAAAGTAGTATACACAAAATCCTCTGAGATGATAGCTGATGGCCTCACCAAAGTACTCCCAGTAAACCAGTGGACGGGCTTTCTGATCCAACTAGGGCTGGTCGAAGTTAGGGATCGAGAGCCACACAATCAGTCACCTGTTGTAGAGATCCAAGCTCAATTAGAGCAGCTTAGCTGTGGTTAATCCAGCTCAAGGCTCTTGAGCTGAGGGGGTGTGTCAGAATATGGGCATATTTTGGGTGGTGGACAAAATCCGGGTGTTCGGAGCTGTGGATTCTGTGGATCAGTTAAATTAGTCAGCGCGCACAATCCACCGCGACCCAACTGATCGAACAGCGTTGGACAACAGAACACACGACATCAGACCAGAACAATACAATCGATCCCAATCATATTATTATACTATTATCCCCGTCTTTGATAACCCATCACAATCTGACAGTAGGTGAACTCAGGGTTTTTCTTAGTAAATTCGGCTGACTAGCTTCCTTGTGTGACCAGCTTGCTTATGGAATAGGTTATATTACTTAGAGAGTCTACTTAAATAAGTTTAGTATACGCTTAAATGCTACTTACTTATTCGCGTATATTTATTATATACGTACTATACTTAACTATATTCTTTACGTTAGATACGACGCCTCTATTAATTATCTATAGTATTGTTACTATACTGCGTTGTGATGACCCGCCCCTACGGCATCACTACTACCCTCTAATAAGTCTAATTTGTAAGGGGCTACGCTTAGGGAGCAATTGCATAGGTTTACTGAAGTTGTATTTAATGGAGAACTACAGATCTATCTACTAGAGGGCTTATATCCACGCGGCGTTCGGATAAATAAGCTCCCCGCTATCCTAAGTGCTATGGCAATGCACCGAGGTCTCACCAAGGATATAGCCAAAGGGCTCTAGCCCATCACATTTGTAACGGCGCAGGCAAGACTACTTGGATCAGTATCGGCGGTAGTGTCACTCAGAGGCATATAGGAGTGCGTGGGACATCAAACGAGCCTTGATTCGAATAGACACCTATAGGCCTTATACAAAAGGATATCAAAAGTCTACAGAACTAGCTACAGGAAGTGTCTCCCTATATACCTGTCCAGGTCGGGTCCGAGTCAGGTCCGACCCTAGGACAACGGACTGAGGAGTGGGCGGCAGATTGTCAGAATATGGGCATATCTTGGGTGGTGGACAGAATCCGGGTGTGGATCGGAGCACCCGGATTCTATGGATCAGTCAGATTAGTCAGCGCGGAGATCCACCGCGATCCATCTAATCCAACCCCTTTGGATCAGCGTGGATCAGGGCAGACACAAGAACAACTCAGATCAGATCAAGCAATACGATCAATAATTCATCATTATTCACCCATCTTTGATAATCCATCTCAATCTGACACAAATACTCCCTCCAATCCCGTTCCGGAATGGGTCTGAAGCTTGGCATTATTATAACAGCGTTACACTAAACCCATGTCTCCTAGACCTAAGGAATTGTTTATGTAAATCAGTGACCGATATTTACCCAGCAATCAGAGTCGAAGCCATTACTGCAGGCAAGCTTGAAATCGCAATTATTGAGCCCAGTGGTAAAAAATCCATCGATCTTGCAGTATTTGTGCCCGTCTTCGAAGGTCTCTACCGAGGTTTTGCCGCTGAACCAGTTTTGGCAGACAGATACGGTTTTAGTGTCGTCGATATTACCACAGCGGCAATAACGGTACCCAGCGCAGGCATTGACCATGGCCGGCGCGACGGCAAGGATAGCAAGAGTAGGAACCTAGTTATTATTAGCTAAGTAAAAATAAAGGAAGATGAGATATGGTAGTTATACCTTCATTATAAGGTGAAGGAGTAGCGATAATGTGCGTATTTGTTTGTTCGGAGATGGAAGGAAGTTCTAATGTATTTTGTTGACTGATGTGCCAAACAAAAAGCTAATGGAATAGAGGCAATATATACCTGTGACGATGAAGAGATACAATTCGTAAGTCTAACAGCTCAACGAGGTAGCGCCGAAAGTCTGTGTATCCCTAGGTGATCTAACACGAGAGAAGGCGCTCGGGCGAGAGTACCCCAACACGAGGACGGCGGTAATCCCTAGGCGATCCAACACGAGAGAAGGCGCTCGGGCGAGAGTACCCCAACACGAGGACGGCGGTAATCCCTAGGCGATCCAACACGAGAGAAGGCGCTCGGGCGAGAGTACCCCAACACGAGGACGGCGGTAATCCCTAGGCGATCTAACACGAGAGAAGGCGCTCGGGCGAGAGTACCCTAACACGCTTACTAGCACAGAAGGCAACAATCAAATAAGTGGGGCTTAGGATTCAATATTTGATTTGTTTGATTACCGCTTTAGGTTTAACGGCTTCCTATAAAGGCTTAACTCTTACCCTGTTGGGTTAGCGCCTAGATTTGAGCTATTATTTGATTTGATTGTTGCCTTCTGTGCTTACTAGCGTTAGCTAGCTTAGGTTAGTACTAGAGAGCTAGAGAAAGAAGCTATTATGCACGCTAGGAGCGTTCCTTACATATAAATAATAGCTACCTTCGCATAAAGATAAGATTCTATACCTACTATCAGACTACTCCTTTCTTAGACCTTCCTCTATTGCGAATTCTATCTGCCAGAGCATTACAGTTCAAGCAACGACCTGTATCCTTATCATCATGAAGTTCCTAGTAAGTAGAAAAAGTTTATAGTTTACTTTAAATAACTAGTCTAATATGTATTCAGACTGCCGCCACCCTCTTTACCTTACTTCCTGCCTTGAGTATGGCTTGCGCCGTCTATGATAATTGTCTTTGCCAAAACAGCGATGGCAGTTTCAACGATGACGCTACCCAGAAAGCATGTGCCAACTTCAGTGGAAATTATGACGTGTTTGATGACGGCCGTCACTACTGCGCTGCCGCGGCTATCCATGCTGGAGCAGCTGGAGGAGCGATTTTGTCCTTCAACAACTGTCGCTTCAGGGAAACCTGTAACAATCATGGGGCCACTGGAGACTCTAACTGCTGGGCTAAAGAGTGGGCTTAGGGCTTAGGGCTTAACGTAGGTGATAAGCGAGTGGAACCTTCAAGCGAGTGGAACCTGTAAGCTCGTGTTGGTGGATTGGCTGTTGTCAGATAATAGCACTGTTGAAGAGAAGAGCGTACAGACGCTGGGTTAGACTAGCGCGACCCGGCATCTGTGAGAGCCAATCGGATCAGAGGAAGGCTTGGCACCCCCAAGGTATGCCCACAACCGTAGACAGAACCACAACACAATTAATCATCAATATCATCACTATTATTACCTATTTCATCAGTATTCCAGATGAGACTGAATATCTGACAGCTGTAAGCTCGTATTAGTGGATCGGCTGTAAGCTCGTATTGTAATGGGCTGAGCCCTAAGTCACATGACTAGGCCGCTGGCCTAGTCGCTTCCTTCCTTCTATCACTCCTTCCCCCAGCAGCCCGTGCACCGTGCGCCGTGCGCCAACCCAAACAAAGCGGGATGGCCGCCCACTTCCTCTTCTTCTCTTCATCTCGACTGTAAATAGCATCTGGATTGGGTAGCTGGAATACAGTACCTACAGACCGTTCACACCTAGAAAGGATCGATAGCTTACCTAACATTCGGTCTTACTGCATCTATGTCTGTGACACCCTAGAAAAGATCGACGGCTCAACTAATATTCGGTCTCACTGTGTCATAGTTTAGAACCTTGGTGTTCCTGCACAGACTACGCCGGCGACCTGGGTGCCGATGTGATGGGCTCTCTCTAGTTAGAGTTGCGCCGCCGCCGAAGTTTGTCCTTCTAAGACGGACATTAGATGAGTCAGCATCGAACACAATCGCGGTGTATCCTGGTGATAGCTCCCTAAGCACACAGGCCCTCAAAGTATCGCCGGCTCCGTCACGGAGAATCAGAGATTTGGCTTATTATGTATAAACATCTTGTCCCCTTCTTACTAGGTTCCTTCTACACCTTCCTCGTTGCTTCACTCACAATATGAAACTGAGCCTGATTTTGTTATCTACACCTCTTCTAATCGCATCTGCGTTAGCATTCGATTGGGCCTGTGCCAGTTCTTTAGATGCACCGGCATTGAATAAGTACTGTGAAGGCGGTTCACATGTCAACTGCGTAATGTCCCTACCTATCTTAACGTGTCTCACCACTCCTCGGCCCAAACCACTCCTCGGCCCGCCCCACCAAAATCGCGACGCGTCTTCTTGCAGTAGCTCTACAACCACGCAATAAAAGATATAGAAAATAGATCTATTAGATGCGCGCTATCTATTAGTACACTAAGTCCGTTTATGGCCTTTTTCGTGGCAATTGGTGCAGGTTGGTGGTGCCCGAGGCCTGCTTGGCTGCCCTGCCTGCTCTACCTTCTGGAGCACTCTTTCAGCCTCTGCAGCAAGCAATTGACCTTCCTCTACCCGCAGAGCTCCTCCACAGGCTATATACTGTCGGCGCTGTTGCTTCTTACGCTGCTGGCGCTGACTAGCCTGTCGAAGCTTACTAACTTCAGCTGTAAGGATCGTTGCTGTAACGGGCTAGAGCCCAGATGCTATGGTGATCCTCGGTGGAACCTTCGGAGCTTCCTCGGCACTTTATTATTATTATTATTGTTGAGAATACAGTCCGTAAGTGACTTGGTGGTATCAAGCGGAGGAGTAGTCACATGATTGGTGACACGTGCAGGTGGGTCCTAGCGGGGAGCTTGGACGCAGCTGCACGCAACACGGATCTACGAACGTGTGAATAGCTCCTTAGTCAATACAATACGTTGTAGCCACCCCGCCTTGTCCCTCCTCCCACTCGGTTATCCATAGTAGTCATACTACTACTAATAGTGCCAGCTTCTCAATAATTATTATATTTCCATTAGAGTCCTGTATCAGTCGGTGACTATGTAGGACTTTGGCTAAGCCGTTCTATGTATGTTGTTCAATATGGAGTTTCTATAGGTCTTGTACAATTTGGAGGATAGTTGCGTAGTCCAATTTCCGAGCTAGTCTTCCATTGGCGCGGGTGCTAAAGAGCAGTGTGGTGAACAGAAAGAGATGTAACAGCGAGCTCTTTGCGAAAAGAAATATTGTTTGTAGTTTTATACAGTGTCTGTCTGTTGTTTTGTGTAGGCGTCTGTATATAGGGATCTACAAGAGAGAGAATAGATCTATACAGCTATTGCCTGGTCGATGTTTTGCTCGTGCGTGTGCTAGTGAAAGCAGGTGCTGGAGCGGTTCGGTATATGGGGTCGGTATATCGAGTCGGTTTAGGGCGTTCGGTAGAGAGGGTATTTGGTGTAGGCGTCTGTATATAGGGATCTACAAGACAGAATAGATCTATACAGCTATTACCTAGTCGATGTTTTGGGCGTTTTGGTGTAGGCGTCTGTATACAGGAATCTATTATAACCTAACAATAATAGACCTATACAGCTATTGCCTAGTCGATGTTTTGCTCGTGCGTGTGCTAGTGAAAGCAGGTGCTAGAGCGGTTCGGTATATGGGGTCGGTATATCGAGTCGGTTTAGGGCGTTCGGTGGAGAGGGTATTTGGTGTAGGCGTCTGTATATAGGGATCTACAAGAGAGAGAATAGATCTATACATCTAGTGCCTGGTCGGTGTTTTGCTCGTGAGTGTGCTGGTGACAGCAGGTGCTGGAGCGGTTCGGTATATGGGGTCGGTATATCGAGTTGGTTTAGGGCGTTCGGGTATAGGTAGCATCTAGATATATAGGCCTATTACTTTGCAGCAATAGAGCTATATACCTAAGGAAGAGCCGTTGCTCTGTCGGTTTCGTAGAGGGTGCCTTCGATCGAACATCTAAAATCAGTTGGCGCACGGACCACTTGCAGAGATTTCTCTCAACTAAGGCCAGGTCACAACTCTGTCAAAGTTGCAGCGGCCAGCGCGCCCGCCACAACGCCTGCACGCAGAAACAGGCGTTGGAAACTAATTCTAGGAAGGCATTTCAATAGATTTGAGATGAAAAAAGGGTAATCCAGGACCTTTTTGTCATCTCGAAAAGTTGGTGTTCGATGTAGCTCTGAGATTGGAGTACGCAAAACACCACCCAAATTGTACAAGACCCATAGAAACTCCACAACGACCATCATACATAGAACGGCTTAGCCAAAGTCCTACATAGTCACCGACTGATACAGGACTCTAATGGAAATATAATAATAATAATAATAAGCGAATGCGCGAATATTAACGCAGGGACGGCGGTAATCCCCAAGCGATCCAACACGACACAGAAGGCAACAATCAAATCAAATAATAGCTCAAATCTAGGCGCTAACCCAACAGGTAAAGAGTGAAGCCTTTATAGGAAGCCGTTAAACCTAAAGCGGTAATCAAACAAATCAAATATTGAATCCTAAGCCCCACTTATTTGATTGTTGCCTTCTGTGCAACACGAGGACGGCGGTAATCCCTAGGCGATCCAACACGAAAGAAGGCGCTCGGGCGAGAGTACCCCAACACGAGGACGTCGGTAATCCCCAAGCGATCCAACACGAGGACGGCGGTAATCCCTAGGCGATCTAACACGAGAGAAGGCGCTCGGGCGAGAGTACCCCAACACGAGGACGGCGGTGTGTCTTGAATTCACGAGGTAGCGCTGAAAGTCTGTGTCTTGAATTTCTCGTACCGTCTACGATTAGATTAAATAAGCACTATCCCTGCTAATTCTTGTATATATATCCCGTCTATTCCTTCAAGTGTACATTAAGCACATCAAGCAAATTTATCATCAGCAAAACAATTCACATCTCCAACAACAACAAATCTCTAAATCAGACAAAAATGAAGGTACAAATGCTGCGTATCCTTAGAGCAATGTCCCCCTCTTCCTAACATCACCTCCTTAGGGTCTTGCCTTCGCTATCCTCACTATCGGCACAGCCATGGTCAACGCCTGCGCGCACTACGGATACTGCCGCTGCGGTAACCTTGATGATACAAAAACAAAAGATGTCTGCGGCAAGCTTCAAGCTGAGGGATCCGCATCGTTACACACATTTGAAGATGGCCACAGTTACTGCCAGTATGGAGATACTACTGGCTTCAACAATTGCGCTTTTAAACTTGCTTGCGCCAACGGTTACGACTCAGATTGCTGGGAGAAATGCCCTCATTGTTAAGTACTTTAGCTAGGGCTAGGATTTAGGGCTAGGGCTTAGGGCGGTTTAGGGCATAAGTAGTTGTGATGGTTTTGGGCCGTTGCCCCGCACAGGCCACCTGCCAGATGCCTTAGCGTTGTTTTGATGTTCGCGCACGAGCCACCTGTTTGGTGGCCCATGCACACCCCCACTTAGATATATTCCGCGCAGAGCTTCTTACAAGCTCTGCACTGCAATTACTTTGTAATTCAACACAGTTTCAAATACCTGACCTATGTGAGACCCTTACAGTAGTTGTCGCAGAACTGTGCTCCTTCTCGGAGTAGCGCGCTCACATACCCCGATACTAAGCTCAGTACAGTTTAGTGCTCCTTTTTTGTACCGATAAAAGAGCGCGAAATCTGTAGACTAATACAATGACCTATCTCCTAACTTATTCCTAAGCTCCTTATTTGCAAAAGTTATAGGCCTAACGCTTTAAAAGAATAATAGAGTTCTTGTTGAGAATACAGTCCGTAAGTGACTTGGTGGTATCAAGCGGAGGAGTAGTCACATGATTGGTGACACGTGCAGGTGGGTCCTAGCGGGGAGCTTGGACGCAGCTGCACGCAACACGGATCTACGAACGTGTGAATAGCTCCTTAGTCAATACAATACTGTGATGGATCAAACCTACGATCCCTCACGCGATCACGTGCCATACAATCACGTGCCACGCTGGCAGTTGGCCCGTGCGAGGAATAATAAAGTTCCCCTCGTACTTGTATATAGATCTGTACACACAATCTCACTTATTAGAGGCATCCTAACTATTGCAGTGTACTAGTGCCTTTACACTATTGTGTGTCAACCCCTACATACCTAGGATACTTCGCATCAGGCTCAGTTATCAGAAACACCGTCCGCGCCGAGCGCCGCCGCCGATTGAGCAACTGCGACTTGCTACATCGGGCAGAACAAGACGTTCTGCGACGGGTTAGGTCTTGACGACGAGGATCGCAAAGTATTGCGCTAGAAGCCCACGGGTGGAGACACCAGGCTCAACAAGCAAGTATTGCTCGTGAGGGTTGTCACCAACGCTGGTAGAGGACAGGTCCACCTACATCCACAGTCCGCAACAATCAATTAAGTGGGTCCTAGAAGGTTCAGATTGGATTGATTGATTACCGCTTTAAGCCTAGTAGTTACCTATAGGAGTTTAAGCCCTACCTAGATAGGTAAGTGGGTCTAGGAGAGTGACCGGATTGAATTGATTGTTGCGGAGTCTACCTACATCAACGGACAAGTAGGCAGAGGGCAAGGCATCGAGCTTCGAGAAGCGCGACCCTACGGTAAGCCCTGCGCAACACACGAAAAGACCAGAGACACCAGGCTCAACAGGCAAGTATTGCTCGTGGGGGTTGTCACCAACGCTGGTAAAGGACAGGTCCACCTACATCAACGGACAAGTAGGCAGAAGGCAAGGCATCGAGCTTCGAGAAGCGCGACCCTACGGTCAGCCCTGCGCAACACACACGAAAAGATCATCGCGATGGCAAACCCGGCCAATACCCAGAATACCCAAGGTACCTCAGCCACCGGTGCCACCTTCGGGCAAGCTTCCCAGGATCCTACTCAATCACAGATGGGCCCGCCTCTCGTACCAGTACGAGCTTGCCTCTCCAACCGCCGAGAGAGCATGCTTCTGGCAGCCCATCCGTCATCCCAGCCATCAGTATCAGCTAGCGGCGACCTAGAGCCCATGACTGCTACACGCGAGATTGTCGGCATCGAAATCAACGACGTCCTGCTCGAATACCTCAAAGATTCTAACTACGTTTACCTCCGTTATACCGTTGACACCGAGTGGTTCGAATTACAAGAGGATCCCGAACCTGACGAGCACAGCAATGCCTTTTACTCCCTTAGCACAGGCCGAATCCGCACTGATGGCAACATCACCCACAACATCAACGACTTCACTGTCACTAACTCTAGTAACCTCCAGAAGAACGTGAAGGATCGTCCCGACTTCTGGTGGCGATTTATTGTCTCTACGCTAGTCTCCCTACGCAACTGCACTGACGCCATCAATAGGCATCTGCAGACTGTGGACCGCAATGAAGGAGAGACTCAAGCTCTACGAGACCGACTAGCGAATGTTGAAGCAGCCCTTGATGAAACTTCGAACAGTAAACAACTACAAGTTGGCATGGTTAGCAGCAACCTGTACAAGGAGAAGCTGACAGAGATCCGACGCCTCACCTCGGACATCGGAAAGCTCAAAGCTGCGTCAGAACAACTCCCCAACGTTCGCGATGACCCCGCCTTCAAAGCCCTCGCCGCTGAGCGCGACCTTGCCGCCACCGAACGCAATGAACTCAAGCAGAAGGTTGAGGACCTATCCCGCCGAGCCGATGAACCGGAGAGCGGTCCTAACTACGCAGAGTTGGCACAGAAGCTCAAGGAGGAGTCTGACAGCGCCGACTGGTGGGCAGACCAAGCTAAGGCCAACGCTGAGCTCTGCGACAAGTTCAAAGGACAAGCTGATCGCTATTCTATCGAGCTTAACCAGTATGATGTCAAGTACTCTAACATGGAGGCGAACAAGAACGAAGCTCTCGCCCTTAAGGATAAGGCTTACGATGAGCTCAACCTCCAGCTCACCGAGGCTAGACGTGAGACAAAAACGGTCACCGACCGACTGCTGCAACATGAACCCAACTATCAGCCGTACACCCTCTGGCGGCGCGAGCGATCTTACGACCCAGTACGGCCTGTACAATCAAGCGTTTTGCTACAGCGACCTGTAGATGGTACCGCTGACCAACTCTCACAAGATCCTCGCCGAGCTGGGTACACCCCATGGGATAACCGTACTCCCGTGCGCGACGCCTCGCTACCTCCTCCATCATCGAACCCATACGCCCCCGCTCCTACAGTACCGCGACCGCCGCCCGTCGCGCCCTCTACCGCCGGTGGAGGATTCTCTTACAAACTCCCAGAACTTGAGACGTTCAAGGGCAAGGTCGACGACGACTACGAGCGGTGGCGCGAGATGGCAGTGGCCAAGTGTCGCACATACCCAGAGGACTGGCAAGCGGTTGACTACCTCAAGTTCCGCATTCAAGGCGAAGCTTACGAGCACATCCGAGATGTCAAAGCTCGCCATTTCCTAGATTTCCTAGAGACTCTCGACAGCCAGTATCTCACCTATGATCGGGAAGCTGACGCCGAAACCCTCATCGCCGACGGCTCGCTCCGCTACAAGTCTGGACAGAAGTTCATGGAGTGGAAGTCTAAGTTCACCTCTTGCATGCGAATCCTCAAACACAAGAACGCGACCCAGATCCGATACGCTCGCGAGTTCATGCGACCCGGGTTAGCTATCGCGACCACTGCCGGATCTCACAAGGATGAGACCATCCAGTCCTTCTTGCTGCGAGCGCAACACATCGACCAGGGACATCAACAGATTGACGCTGGCCGAAAATTAACTCCCGTTACGAAGACCGCTGGTGCTAGCCGTACCCAAAAGTTGGTCACCTTCCGGACACCCGACACTCCAGGTCACAACAACGCCGCCAGCACGCATACGTACAAGAAGATGGCCTTCGAGCGGTCAGAGAAAGACAAGAAGCGTCTAGCTGACTTGAAGCTCTGCTTCAAATGTGGCAAGGATGACCATCAGATGAGGCACGAGACTGCCCCCTGCCGCGGCAAGCCCTTCACTCCTTCTCACCAAATCCCCGCACTGGCTTCTTTGTACATCAATGCTCTCGACGCTTCCAACGAAGAGGAGCGAGACGAGGATACTGAGGAGCCGCTGGACGACAACGACTTAGTGGATGACGATGGCTTCTACGTCAACGACGAGGAACTACTTGAGCATTTAAATTAGGGGCTCCCGCGCAGAGCCGCGTGCGGGAGCTCAATTGGCGTAACGCAAAAAGACACCAGCGCCGTGTTCGAAACCAGCATCGCCGTTTCGAGATCGCTGCAGCCTTGCTGCTCGCCCCTGACGAAACGCCAACTATGACGGAGGTCCACTTCGTGTCCTCCGCCTCCATCGGAGGCAAGCCTTCTAAAGACTTCAGCCGACAACTCGAGTTTCCCGGCTCCGCTCTCACGCGACCTGATTGTTGGCAACCGATTTCTACCCTTATCGACACGGGAGCCAGCGCATGCTTCGTCAATCAGTCATGGGTTAACCAACACCGCCTAGATACTATGCCTGTGGCCAAACCCATTCGATTGTCACTAGCCAACGGCGGAGAAGTGGACAAGCTTACCCAGGCCGTTGATCTGCCCGTCCGACACGGAAGCCATACGCACAACGTCCTATGCTACGTCACCAATATCGGCAAGTACGACGTTATCCTAGGCATGAATTGGATGGACTATCACCAGCCTGCCCTCCACTTTGGCGACCAGCGATCACTCACCTTCGCTAAGGCAGGGTGCAAACTTAACTGCCTCCACGAAGGACTCCCAGAGACGGTTTACGAAAACGGAGTTTGTCACAGTCACGTACAACTAGTCAAGGGAGACTACCAGACAGGCGACACCACTACTAAGACGAACAAGGATGGTAAGGTGACGACTGAGGAGACTATGGCTGATATCTACCTCATCTCCGCTGCCGCTGCAACCGCACTCGCAGCCAAACATCCTGACCAGGTCATATGGTTGGAACCCCGCCATTGGGCCAAGCTTGCGAAGCCCCCCGATGAAGACCGAGAAGGCATCGGCGTAGCCGCAGTCTCGCAAACTGACTTTGAGAAGTACATGCACAAGATGGAGCAACCTTACATGACTAGAGACCAGATTGGCCAGCTGGTACCTGAGTGGGTGTTGGACGAACTACCTGATCTGTTCAACCCTCATCTGGCTCATCAACTCCCCGAACGAAGACCAGGAGTCGACCACCCCATCGACCTGCTTCCTGACACTACGCCCCCTAAGCCTCATGTCTACGGACTCACTCGTACCGAGACTGAGGCTGTTAAGAAGTATATCGATGACATGCTGCAAAAGGGCTTAATCAAGGCCAGTAACTCCCCGTTTGCGTCACCTGTCTTGATCGTCAAGAAACCTGGAGGAGGTCTCCGCATATGTGTCGACTACCGAGCACTCAACAACGTCACTAAGAAGAATCGAAATGCGCCACCAGCCATCAAAGAAACTCTAGCGCGCATGGCCAAAGTTCAGATTATGTCTCTCGTCGATGTTGTAGCCGCTTTCAACACCGTTCGGATTAAAGAAGGTGACGAAGAGAAAACCGCCTT